TTTGGTGGGTTTTTTTTTTTTTTTTTTTAAGCATGGCTTGCAGTCTCCCTGCAAAACTAGTCTCTGAACCAGAGAGAAACTGAATTATGCCCTTAAGTGTAGCTATTTCTTAATGTCATGTTAACACTCAGCTTGGGGGAACTCTGTGCTGCCTGTCTCGAGAAGATAATCCCCATTTATTAAAGCAAGTCGATGCTCTGTGATTAAGTCACAGTCCACAGAGGTTCATGCTGCGCTTGGCACTTACCCTTCCTCTCTGTCTCCCCCCCTACCTGTTCCTCTCTCTGCTGCTGTCAGGTTTGCTGCTGCTGCTGCGGAAATGGGGGAGTACGGAGTTGTGCCAGGCCAGCGCGTGGCCATCGTCTGGGACAGCTCCTCGCCGGTTCAAGCCCTGAAGGATTTGGTGGCTAAAATTCAGGCGCTGGTGGGAGCTGATAATCGTGTCTCTGTGGAAAACATTAACCAGCTGTCTCAGTGTAAGAATGAGCTTAATTTTTCACTGTTTCGTTTAAAGGGAGAGGGTGCTTCTGTTGTGTGAGCTGACATCTTCCCTGGTTTGTAAGTCAGCATTCAGAACAACAATAGCACCTACTGCTAACTCCTACCACTGGCAGTAGAGCAAAGAAAGTGATATGCCCTGGTCGTGCTTCCTATGACTGGTGTCTTTAATCAGTTATTGCTGTTGTACACAAGCATGAGATGAGGAGGGGAGGAGGAACTGATGTATTAAGCAAAGCTGTGTGTGTCTATGTGTAAAATTGTACCATCTTCCTCTTTCTTTTCAGCGGCTCACAGGGAGTCCAGTTTTGATGTAATTCTCTCTGGCATGGTACCAGGCAGTACAGCACAGCACAGCGCGGAGGTACTAGCAGAACTAGCTCGGATACTTAAGCCGGGGGGCCGTGTCCTCCTGAAAGAACTGGTGATTACAGAATCAGGTGAGAGAATCTGCATCAGCCTTGCTTTCATGGCAGCATAGCAATTCTTGTGAGGATTAGGCTGAAATGGAAAGGACAGGAACCCTGACTGACATTCAGAGATTTTCATTCTCCTGACACAGTAACCTGAATAGCAAGGTTTTTACGCTGTGTTTTAGCTGGTAGCCATCAGAGGTGTTTGCAGCCACTCTCCTTCTATCAAAAGTGCTGGATAGACTTGTTCCTAAACTACGTTGAAAAGCTCAGTGGACACTGATGATCTCCTAGGGCGTGTAATATTAAATAGTTGCAGATGTTGTGTTTCTGAGGAGCTTCTGAAGTGGTTTTAAAAACAGGTGACGAATGCCAAGAGAAGCTGTTCCCAGAAGCCAGCTGAGAAATAGTTATCCAGAAAAGGTAGAACTGTTTGGACTAAGTTTTAAGAGTAAAGCCAGAGTACCTGCCATGGGACAGCTGGAGGAACGCGCAAGGAGGTTGTCGTGGTTTAACCTCAGTTGGCAACTGAGCCCCACCCAGCCGCTCACTCCC